AAGGAAAACTTGAAACACGCTCAACCCATCTGGCCAGGGCCGGCCAGGCAGGGGTAGGCCAACCCTCTTTTCTTTGGAGAGTCCTATTTCCTGCGGTGGACTACTAAAAGCTGTTGATGATGATGTTTGTGAATTAAGTACCGTGGCGTTTGGAGATGGCGTTTGTTCACGGTTAGTAACGAATGGAGCGTTGCATTTTTTTTTTCATTTTGCTTATAAATGTAAGTGATGACTATAGGGCTATTAGACAAAAAACAATGCAAATTTAAGAACATAAGATGTTTCTCCTTATAGCGTGTTTCTGAAAAATAAAATTAATTATCGACCTGAAAAATATACATAAAATGAGCATAAGATTTGCGATGAAGCTATAATCCTAAAAAAAACAAAAGACATTTGAAAATGAAGTCCAAAAGTCATAGATGAGGACGATCGCTGTAATAAGCCCGATCCGGTTTGTGTGGTGAGTAATGAAGGTGTGGTGCAAATAAATTTATTCGACAAGATGGTTATATTGGAATCTTAATATAATATTAGCGAGGCAAAGCTTCGAGATAACGACATTACAAATAAAAATAATGAACATGTAAATAAAACAAAACAGTTCGCATATAAGGCGGTTCTTCGAAACCGATGTTTTGTTCAGTACCAATAAATGACGAACTTGAAATCGTATCTATACGAGTGTATAATAGTCTGTAAAAGGCATATGTTCAACTGTGAACCCTTACGTCTAAAATTATGATGTTAATTACCATTACATCCAAGACGTATTGACCCTGGCAGAATTTTCGGAAGTTTTAGAGCATTTCAAATTGAGAATATCACAACTGATTCTAAATTTAAAAAACTCACTACTATTAAAATAATAGTTCGTAACAGTAACGTCACCTCGGAAGTGATTCAGACATGACCTCTGCTTTTTATAATTGTTTAAAATGGAATTTTAACAATACACATTATTCCGTGCTAGTGCGAAAGTAAATTACATTTTAAAATTTGGAACAATATTGTAGTGTGGTTTAAATAAATATTGAAATATGAGTGCACAAACAATGCTTACCAGATTGTGACATGAGTAGGTAAGGATAAACAATATTTTCTCTAGCAGCACGCGTAAGAATACTTTATATTAATCAATAATAAGTCTGCCGAACCAGACACCAAACAAGTTTTAAATTGGAAGTTGTTGTAAAATGACAAAAAAAATACATTAATAAAAATAAGAATACTAGACATTGTCACGTTTACTGTTTTTTTTTATTCATTATTGCTCCATAGTTCATTTTCTATTTGCATATTGACAGAGCACCAGCATTTTTTTTACATCTAGGAGTAGCAACAAGAATTTCTTACTTCAGTAATAACTGTAGTTAACATTAAAGTAACGTAGTTAAAGAAAATATGTACATAGGTTATATGACTTAATCACCGGAATGAACTTGAATAAATTTACTCGAAAGTTTGATTTTTACTGTTTAATAAATATTAATTAAAATAAATATTACTACAAGTATTGTCTAAATTTGATAAAAACCCAGCTACTGAGCAACTGATCTGACAAAAATTATCCTATGATCCTTCTCACCAACAGAAAAGGTACATACTAATTATGTATATATATTTTATATTTCGGACTTCTAACACACAACGCCATCTAGTTTCACACTAAGCAGGGCTTGTACTATGAAAGGTAGATTGACTGATAGAATACTTATATACTTTTTTTGTAAATACATACATACCATGTTATGTCTCTGAAATATACCTGCTGAAAAAAATAACATAATAAAAATCGTTCATAAAAAGGTCTTTATGAACGATTTTTATTATGTTAGAAATTGCCAATGGCTTAAAAGGTTTTAAGCCATTGGCAATTTATATATATAGTATACGGTATATGATCCACTAGGGGTCAATAACAGGTACGTAGTTCCTATTAACGCGGCTATTATTTATATTAAATCTCATTTGATCATGCAACAATATTTAATAAAATATACTCATTTGATATAAAACAAATCTATCACAATTTTCCATACAAGTTAATAAAATTCAAGTGTCCGTTTATACTGTCCAAAAAATAGTTTTTTTTCATGGTCACTCGGTTATATGCATGAAAATTAAAACTGGTTTTTAGGCATAGGTACGAGACCTATGCCTAAAAACCAGTTTTAATTTTTTACACGCTTTATATTAGCTTCACTTGTATGTTTGTTTGTATGTTTGTAACCGACTCCTTTGGGCGTGATTTTGACTGACTTTAAACGGTCAGAATTCGTTCAAACTTTGTAGATATATCGAGGACCGATGACAATACACTAATTTAAAAAAAAAAAAATATAGTTTTAAAAAAACTGAAGCGTGAGGTGCTTTTTACTATTGACAACAGGCACCCAAAAAATTATAGTTTAAAAAAAACTAAAGCGTGGGGTGCTTTTTACTATTGACAACAGGCACCCAACGCTTTTTTCAAATTTATTTTCTATTTTTTAGTTTGATTTTCTATAGAAAGCATGTTTTTTAGTTTGTTAAAACTATTTTTTTTTGTCTATCTTTCTGTCTGTCTGTTTGTGCTTGTAATCTTCAAAACTGATGACTTTTCCCTCTCAGAAAAACCCTATAAAATATTGCCCGGGCCGGGCATCGGACCCGAGGCCTCATGGACTGCAGTCGCGTACCGTACTACAACACTAACGCTGCGTTTTTTAAATTTCATACAAAGTCGCGGGTACCAGCTAGTCTTAAATAAATTGGTTTAGATAGCTGCTTATATTATTAACACAATTTTCTAAGAATACAATAAATCAGTGGCACGAAATATCATTAGCAGTTGCTGTTACAGAATACATTTAAGTACATACATCAAATTAGAAATAACTCTATTGTTTTTGATCTGATCTGTTTATACAGCCACTATATAAACAAATGTGTGTTTAAAGCAATGAAGTGTTTGCCGGGAGGAGATAAAATCTGGCCTTACAGAATATGTACCACATTAGTTCCTGATCCGATACACCACAATTCACAATAGCCGTGGCTATAAATCTGATATCTTTTCAAACTATTCAATGTCAGAGCCAAAGTTTATATTACAGTTATTTATGATGTAATAAACTATAATGTAGGTATAATAAATAGTACCTACTTAATATAATAAAGTTGATGGAGTACTATTATTCTAATAGTTAAGTCATGGACGATATGTATCAACAAAACAAAACATTCATATACATATAATTATCATTCGATCCAGAGCACATGAACAATCTAATTTTTTAAGGCAGATGTTCCGTACTCCAGTGAGCGGACAAAAGGCGTTAAAGAAATAGAGATTCCTGCACAAAGAGACGGACGAACAGATGCGCGAGTGGAATCGTGGCATTTGTCTGTAAATCACATGGGCAAACAGCACGCACACAGCGACCCTGCTCTTAAATACAACCGAGCTGTGGGTGTGTGAGTGTACCTGCTATCAAGGCTACGTTCGAACAGAGCATACCTGCCCCTACCTGCTGTCTATCTCGCATTCTTGTACTATCTGCAAAGTATAGGAAGGTTTGCGGCGCGTGTGTCGTAACGTTGCCCGCCTGTTAGCTTCTTTTGGACTTAACATAGCTCAGAGGTTGTCCTCGATGGCATATCACTCTAATATTTTCTAGCACCCGATGATTGACAATTCAATTACGAATATTTTAATGTAGGTTGTCAAGCTTTCAACCTTCAATGATTTCTGAATATATTAAGTGTCACGGCCTCAGTTTTAGCTTACCTATGTGTGTAATAGTTAACATAATTTTTATTTATTTTTATTATTATATTAACAATATTATAATAATGATTTTACATAATTATTCTATATTCATAACCTCAAATGTAATAATCCTTAACATCTACATATTTAGTTCAAAATTGTGTAACTTTAAAAACTCTGTTATTCATTCTAAAGGAATTCAGAACCCATAAAAGACCGTATAACTTCCAGATATCAATAAAGATTTTAAATACGAAAATATGTTACGTTCAAACATTACCATGTATTATATTATAAAGCATATAAATAGGAATAGTATAACATACTATAAGTCATTCCATAATTTATACGAAAGTGTCAAACACGTTACAAGTCTTTATTGATTTATTCTTTAGTCGCATCCTCAATATTCTTGCTTTTGTAGGTCATGGGCCGTCAACCTCAAAACCTTTATAAGGAAATGCAGGTTAGCCGAAATTAACATTGCTAAACAAATCCATTTCCAAATTTGTTAAACAAATGACGTCTTTATCCGCGCCAGCACAATCTACATGTATAAACACATATCACCAATATTTAAGATGATGTGGAACGGGTATATATATGTGTAAAGTGTAATTAAAAACAAGGTAATTGAAACAAAACTCGTTTTAGGTATTTTTTTGAATGATTTCTCAGTAAAGGTATATTAGTAGTTCTTGCGTTATGATTTATGTCACAGATTTGGCGAGTCATGCCGTCAAATGTCGAATCCCTTTTATTGTTTGTATTGTCTTATCCATGTCAGTACAGTGACGTCATAGGTTATAGAAACGCCCTCATCTGTCAGTTTTGTAATCTGATGGATGTACAACAGGCGCGTTGAGTTGGGTGCGTCGTACCTACTCAGCCGGCTGTAGTTGTTGCTGTAGTAGTGGTATTTACAAAATGGTCAGTCAGTAATGTTTTTGGTGTTATTGATTGTGTAAGCGACGCATGAGACGGGGAGGGGCGCTGAACAGGTGTACGAGGCCGGCGCACGCGCATGGGAACGACGCGAAGGCCAACACAACTTACAGCGTTCTCAAATGTCGCAAGTAGCAAACTCATTACCGTAACTTCATCCATTGCTCTAACGCCAGAAGTCTTTTCAAGGATAGTTTAACGTGACACTTTTGACCCAGAACATTTTTATAGCTGGTTAGAGGCTTTAAAGAACATGAACATGAACTTTGTTTCATGTTTTGAACTTTTAAACAGATCTTATTTAGTATTCAATCAGGAACGTCATAGCTTTTATCTATAAACATAACACAAATTATATTATTATAAATGGTAATAGCTTTGTGTATTTGTAAATGAAACTTACCTCTTTTAGACCATCGAGCCGTCCAAGAGACTTTGATTGACGTAGTGGCAAGAATGATTTCAGAGCGTCCATCCGAGAGGTTCGCTCCGGTTCTGCATTAGTGGCGGCAGTAAGGTCGGCGCAAGAGCGTCGCGCTTTTCGCCGTTTGTCCAGCAGCTGCTTTGCGGTGCGCGAACGACGTTGCACGGGCACGGCATCTTCCTCTGGTTCGCTGCATACTTCCCTAGCTGCATGCACCGTGTGCCGACGCCGCGACACTGGAGGTGATGTCAGCCGCGACACCAACGATTCAAACATGGCGGCAATCACTACCCGCTGTGGAACTCCGACGACCAGTCACGGGTGGCGCTTAGTCCTTCATATAAAGCCATAATGTGCAGTAGCTCGATTTATCTCGTACGATGAAATGCCTACAAGCAAACATTAACTATCTGTGACGACGTATTTCAGACGCAGCGGGGCGACTCTCCATGGCCTCTCTCATAACTTCATAACATAAGTTTATTAACAAAAATGCGATCCCAGTGCGGCATGTGTTCATGTATAGGTAATATAGATCGTTGACCGATCCGCATCGACATTGTCATTTAACTGAACGATAGTGACTCTCGAAATAGCTTTGTTTGTGATTCATTCACACAGTGTGCACACCGTGACGGGCGGAAATGGCAAAACGCGACCACATTTGCATTTAACTATTGCTGTTCTAAAGTAAATTTGTGCATCAAAATGATCATAGTACTACTAAATGTGGCAATAATGATGTCGAAAGACATACAACTGAGTGTTTGAATAATATTCACACGTTTGTGAATAGTCTTAAGTTCGTTAACCCAGTTACCGAGTTAATATTGTAATTAAACGAATCTGAGACTTATCACACGATGTGGTGTGTTAGAAACAGATGAAAGTGTGCCACTGTCCATGTCGGGCGCCGAAAACATTGTCGTGGCACCTTGCCATCAACTCGTCGAAATATAACCTCAAGGCCATGACTGAAAGCGAAAATAGAAACTTAATACTTCTGTCATATCTGTTGTAAGTTGATTCTTACAATAGAATTTTCATGTTTCATGTTTGATTTAGGACGCAACTGGTTTACTCGCAATAACTATATACGTTCCTCAATTAACATAGCATAATATCTTACGTTATTGTTTACGTTTCTTTATCAATTCAATAATAATTTACATTCTATTTGAATTTTAGATACAACTAAAAGATTATTATATTAATAATAGAAATCAAAATTCAAATAAACAAAACATGGGATGAAAGAAATAAAATGTATTTAAAGAATTTTCTATCTTAACGAATATTTTAGGAAATTCTTTGATATGCTTTGAGAGGTTTGATTTTCCACAGATTTTTTGTGCTAACATAATATTTCCGTTCCAGAAATCATCCATTTCTAACTTAAGTTCATTATAGTGCAACTATTACCTTACCTACTAATGAGATTAGATACTAGTCGACATAAATCCACGAAGGGCTTAAAATGTAGTTACTTGTGAACTAACAATTGCGAAAAGACGCAAGGCTTCACTCAAACAACTCGTAAACGAAACATGCTTGTATTTTCACTTATACACCTGTGTCAAGACAATTGTTTACTTCTTTTTATGACGACTATGAATACACCGCCACTATAGAAGGTAACAAAGTAGGCCACCTGCCATTGTACCGAAAGTTAAAACGCAGACAAAATGTTTTCTAACTCGAATTTTCAATTTCAAAATATGTCAGATGTATCGAAATTGAAAATTTGAATATGTAATTTAAATGTCACAGTGCGATTATGACTGTAGAACAATGTGTCCTCTGTACAGAACTAGTAACTCCAGCCGGTAGCTATCGTTTGTAGAGCATGGCTCAGCTAATAAAACGGTTAGTCTTAAGTCGACGACGCAAACCGGTACGCAGACCGGTCCTGCACACCCACCCTCCCGCACACATCATCACATCCCCGCGCACTTCTAAATACGCATACACGTCACCTTATCAAGAGCCACTGTGGCTAAGCCTGTTGTCAATCCGCTCTCCTATTACACGGAGCATTCGGCTCTGATGATGCTCGGATCAAATTCGTTGTTGGCATATAACTCCCATAAGTGGGTAACATAATGTAAGCACCGGTATGGCTAACCGCAGCTTAGATTAAACGCACACTTCCAACTCAAAACAAACATCTAAGAGTAAACGTAAAGTTATGTCGGTATTGCCTGCCAAAACTGTGCTATTTGTGATGAAAATTCGTCATTATGAGGTAATGTTTAAAATAACATATCAGATTTTTGTAAGCAAGAAAACCGTGAAGAAATCTAATGTAGTGTGAAAACAATTGGCGAAAGTCAGCATAAAGACAAGTTAGCCAATAATCGAGCGCAGTGACAAAGGCGTAGATTAGAAAGTGTGTTGTTGTTGTGTATCAGAAAGCCCGTGATACAGAGTACACACGCTCTGATTGGCCCCCTATCTAAAAATCTGTCACGTAGCCGCCTAACAACCATGTTTCCATAATCATCTAAATAAATTCTAGTTATCAACACACAGTTATCATAGAGAAGTTGATGCTACCAGCTCCTTTTTCAAATATGAAACGTATTCATTTATAATTCAAGTATAAATCTAATCCCGGCGCCATTCATCCCTTATCTTCAGACATTACTTACAGTCGTCATTTTTGCCTCTTAACGCCCTAAGTATAGATTTATGATCATTCACAGATTTCATCCATCTTTCATTCACTCACCTATCATTATAAAATAACTAATAATATGAGACCTAATATTTACTATTCGAAAACCTATTAAAGGAGATGAATTTTTAACAGACCAAACATATAAATGTGCTTTAGGATTATAGATTTTATGGGTTTTGAATAATTTTATTGAAAGCAATAATTTTATAGCATAATGTCTCAAAATTGGAGATATCGTCCATTAGAAAATATAACGACAATACGAATGATTGAAATTACGACTTACTTTCGTTGAAATTAATTCCGTTTAAAATTTCCTTCAATCTTGATTCTTTCAATTAAGATTGAACGTTCACCATTTATTTCTTTAAGCAATGATGTGCTCAAATGCAAGCATTATAGCGGGTAACTTTAACCTGAAGGACAAATTAGTTTTTTTTTTGTTATATGTTTGACGCGAGGCATAGCAGAGAAGAAATACAACAAAAAAACACATACCGATACGGACCCCTTGTATTGATCGCGTATGATCGATGACGCAATCCGAATAATATATTTATTCTCATTCCAGATTTTTGTTATTCCTTTCTACTTGTTAAGCATTATGAGTTGATTAATGTTCTAAGAAATGGTGGATCCAGTAAGTAATGAGGATGGGATGAAAACTTAAATATCTCATTATAAACTTTAAGTTATATAACAATGATCCCATTTCAGGTGCAGGTTGAATAAATGTTACGATGTTTAGGCGGTCAAGCGGTGACCTTGGGTTGGAAGTGTGTCATTCGTGAGATGGGCTATCGGATGGCAGCCGTCACGCTCAGCCCACCGCGCTAGCCGTCTCGTTGACCTGCCAAGCCAGCCGTCGTCGCACCAAACAATCAATCGACTGTTTCAAATAAATTTACTTTACCTGAATTTAATAAAATTCAGGTAAATTAGGAGAATAATTATTTGTCTACAAAATTTTAAGATTTGATAAAAGAAGATTACCAATCTTCTTTTACCAAATCTTAAAATTTCGATTCCTATAAAATAAACAAAGTGGAACACAATTTTGGCAAATTTGGGCCACTTAAAAATAAACCACGGAATACACAGTCGATTACTCTAATGACAAGACGTGAGTGAAAGCAAAACCCTGAATTTTATTTATTTTTATTTTAAAATATTCTAAAATGAGCAAAACTTTAAAGTTAAAACTTTAGTAAAATCAAGTTTAAAAAGAATTTATTATTTATTTACCCCAACGAACATTGTGACATTTATCTACCACATACATACATATTGAAGCGTCTATTGAAGTCAATTGCCACTTCTTTATTGCTATGTTCGATTTGTACACAAACACTTGTGAGTGATGACATTTTCAACCCGTACTTACGTTGTGACTCTCGAGTTATGTAAACAAGTTGCAGCTATACCGTGTACGGTGTGTCAAACGTTGATGACACTATAAGAGCCTAGTTCCCTCAGTTGTTGGTGCACCATCAAAATGTTATGAAGGGCCCAGGCCCGTTATTTGGTTCTTGTATACATTAGCCGCAGCGTGACAGAGTTATTTAAATGTGTCTAACTGTTGCTTGTCGATGAGAGCGCTATAACCCGGTCGCTGCCGTTCCAACACTAATCAACAGACGATTCTAATTGTCTATAGCTGTAATAAATACATATACGTGTACGCGTACCCGTGTATTGTTTTCTTGTTTTCTCGATGATTGTTATTACGTTTTTATTTATTTTGTTACATATATAGTAAAATCTATTTGAGCTGGGAAATGCTTTGGACTGCGCTTAACTAGAATTCTTATTCCAATATTAAATTAGAAATATACTAAAATAAGTATACGTTAAGTAAGTAATAAGTATAAGTTATATAATCAACGTAGCAAAAGAAATACAGCTTGTCTGATTGTAAGGCTTCGGCACTAGTACAGCAAGTGTCCAAAGGCATTTATCTGCCTTTGGACACTTGCAATACTAGGGATTGTGTAATGTTTACACCTACCTATTGTAAACTTTAACATGTGTGTATTTGTGCATAGAATGTTTTAAGCTATGATCCAACAAACCTGTCCAGCTATTTAAAGATGCACTTGTCTTAAATGAGTAAAGTTATTATTATTACTTAACTTTCTGATTTTTTTGTAGCGTTTGTTATTGATGTAAGCCTGCCTTCGGTGAGATATTATAATAGATTTCTACAATAACTAGGCAAGAATGACTAGTTTTGATTAAATGGCCGGTTATTTTAAGACGCGCGTTCATCGGCAAACCGCTCATCGAAACTTTAGATTGACCGGGTTTTTTTTCTTAAAATGGCCGTTACGTGAGGCTTCGAGATTTGTTTTTATTGACATTGTAAAATACGCGAAAAAAACTATATCTAAATGAGAAAGATATAATTTATTTCAGATAGACTAGTAGATTAATCACCTTGAGTATCTTGAGTATATTATTTAGTCAGTGTTGGATGAAATGCTTTTAAAACCGCTTGTATTTAGAATACAAATTATTTACATGATAAAGTTATTAAGTTTAATTATAAAACAATTAACATTTAAATTTTGTTTGACCCCTATTTACCGCAGAACTG